ATTCATATACTTGAGGAAAACAAGCAGCTCCTGATTTTCAACTTTGTTACCCTACCAAGTCATTCAAGCTTCACTGTCTACAAAATTTCAGGCATACAACCAGCAACTACAACAAGGTACACTGACCAGAGGAACAGTATATTAATTCAGAGCTCCTGCTGCTGAACATCTGTGGTCTCTATTAACTCTTTTCAGTGCAAGAAAGATAACAAACAGGATGCATGAACAATGTGCCACAGACTGGCTAGAGCAGACAGGTTTGGGAAGTATGCCTTAGCTACCAATATGGAATAGAGAAGTCAACTGTCCTTTCTGTGTCCTCCCTGCCTACTCCTCTTTGGGGAATTTGGGTATTTTGCCAACCCACTCAAAGCCAGAGAAAGGCACACAGTAGCAATCCAAAAGAGAAGGAAGCACTGAACAAGAATGGGAGCCGCAAAAATGGCTCACTCATCCCCACTCAATCAGGGTTATGGCCCAGCATACTTAATTTTTGTGAACCCTACTTTGCTGATTTGAAAAAGGAAACAGTTATCTGGCAAGTCATTATCTTTATGGGTGCTAAAAAGTACCTCAAAGGCAATCCAGCAGCATTAAAGTGTATGCTGGTATACTAAAAATTACATGCTAATTGCTAGCACCAGTGACAGCAGGACCCCTTGGCTTTGATCTCCATTCATAGATACTAAAACTTGTTTTAGTGTAGTAAAAAGTCATTATCTCCCAATAAAGAAACTACACAATATGAAGTTCTGTACCCTTCTGCCCAGTGCAACTACATTTAAAAAATATTTATCTAACTGAACAACTTTAAGGAGAACTTTGCTATATTCAAAAGAAAAACCACCCTCACAGGTCAAGCACCTTTACTGAGTTACTACTCTTAATATTTATTTAAATGGAGTATTACAAAGCTCTACACACAACTAGGTCATAAAAGCTTGAGAATGCAGTTCTGTATAAGTCATTCACCCTCAGAAAACTGCTGTCAAGTAACTCATACCAAGCTTCTGTTGCTAGCTTAAATTAAATGCCAAAGAAATCCTGAAGATAGGGTTGTCTTACAAAAGAGACACTTGAGTACAGTTTCTAATGCGAATACATTATTTAACTAGCAATTTTTTATGTAACTAGTGATTTCCATGTATATTTTAGAGATCTTCAAGTGTTACATACTTTCAAGTAATATATGCCAACTTTTGCATGCATCTTTCAACAAATATGAATGAGATTTACCAAGTACACAACTGTGATTGTGACCCTCAGCTTAGCTTAACTACTAGTAGTACTGAAAATACAAAGACACTACAAAATTTGTCAAGGAGAACCTAAGCTATTTAAAACTGAAGAGGACTCTGTCTTCAGCGTGATACAGAGCAAATAAGATGAGTCACAGAATCAACTAGGTTGGAAAGGACCTTGAAGATCATCCAGTCCAACTGTTAACCTACACTGACAGTTCCCAACTACACCACATCTCTTGGTGCTATGTCGACCCTACTCTTAAACACCTCCAGGGATGGGGACTCCACCATCCCCCTGGGCAGCCCATTCCAACGCCTAACAACCTGTTCTGTAAAGAAATGCTTCCTAATATCTAGTCTACACCTTCCCTGGTGCAACTTGAGGCCATTCCCTCTTCTTCTATCACTTGATAGAGGCTCATCCCAAGCTTTCTAACTTCTTTTCAGGTAGTTGTTGAAACTGTAGAAACCCAGCCTCCTCTTCTCCAGACTAAACAACCCAAGTTCCCTCAGCTGCTCCTCCTATGACCTGTGGCTCCAGACCCTGCACTAAACTTACACATCTCAGAACTGCAAGGAGTTTCACATCTTTATTATATCTTCTTAATCTTCATGTGAGAAAAAACAAAAAATAACTACTTCAAATGTTTTCCCTCCAATTTCACTATTAGGAGAAAAGGGGAACAAGTGTTCATTACCTAACTTCTGTACCACTTCTAAAATATCATCTAGAAACTTCCATCTTACACCCACCTCTTCAATACACATCCACTTTATTTTGACCAAGGGCTCTGATTTACTCAGAGATGCTGCATTCCAAACATATACTTACAGAATAATGAAAAGGGATGAGAAGGGATGAGAAAACAAAATGAGTACAACAGGCATAGTGGAAGCATACAGTGGATTTTTATACTGAAAGCACTTGTTTTCCTGCTATGAATTAATATGAACAGAGATTAGTCTTTTGCACACTGTAACTGAGCATGAGTCTCTAAAAATATTCAAACAACCTCAAGTTGTACTACTACACAGGAATAATACGTTGAATTCAGAACATATGGGTTTGTATGCAACACTAATTGTCCCATCTTCATTCTTTCTTGGAATATCTATCTGCATATTTATTTTATGCAAGTGATTGTAGATGGTAATAAGTTTGTCCTAGTAATTTTGTCCGACTGATCCAGAAATTCACCTCTGGGTTACTGTTTGAGAGACTACTGACCTACTCCAACTTGCTGTAGAACTCACTGCAATCCAACTCCCTCCCTCTTAGTGTATGGTATGTAGGTATGTGACCTAAGATCACTGAAACCACCCTTTCAGATGTAGGACCTAATTTCCATAGGAAAGCCAGAATGATTTACTAGGTCACTTATCTATGACATCCACCTGTACAGGACAATGTTCCACTTTAATCTACCCTTCTTTGACCATGCAGTAACTTTTTCTTTACAGCTTCCTGTGCATGAAAAAAATCTCATCTGAGAGCAGAATCACCACAGGTGAGCTCACAGTGAAGTCACCACTCAAGGCAAACTTTGACCAAGTAAGGACAGCCCTGTTACATCATTTTCTAGGGAGCAACAGTGACAACAGAAAAAGGGAACAAAACAGTAGCTGGGAATAAAGACCTAACAGCTCATCAGTTAAGAGATGACAGACAAAGTCTTGCTTCCAATATAGAAGTCTGATTACAAAGCACTAGTTGCACAGGGAAGAGCAAAAGCTAGGTGATCAGTATGCCATTGTTCCCCCATGTTATTCTTACACAACAAAAATCTGCTTCCTCAATTGAGAATAAGCTGAATCTAGTTTTAAGCATCCCCCAGACGCAGAGAATTTTACTTCATGACCATTTTAGTCATTACACTCTACTGACTTTTCTCCTTTTCCCTCTTTACATTAGAGAAGCATTTTTAGACTTGTGCGAAGTTCAACTGAAGACTTGGAGCTATGCCCAAATTGAATTTTGACCCCACAGTTCCATGCTGAAAGCCATGCAATTCTGTTCCAAAGAACTTGAGAAAGTGCCTTTTTGTTTAAAGACTCATTCCATTTGAAACTGAGACAAGTATCTATTCACATAGTAGCAGAATAAAAGGTCAAAACATCTTACCCCTGCCACAATGTAATATACAACAAATTCTGTATTTCCCCTCTTGTAAATTACTGTTTCATCTTCTTTTAAACTCTAGAGATAACTATCTAGAGATAGTTTCTGGCAGTTACTTCTGCTAACTCACTACACTAAAATTTTCAAGGCTGATAAGATACCAATACAATTTGTTACCTTGGGGGAAGCACTATCTCCTTTATTTCAGTTAAAGTTGTTCTACTACAAGTCAGATCTTTGAAAAGTCACTAACATTTAAAAGTCTGACAGACATTTTTCATGAAAAACCTCCATTGTTTACTCTGCCTTTTTCCAAACTGAAGTTGACAGTCATAGAAAGTGACTATTACAGGTGTTTAGATACATCCCATTTCCTGAAACAGAGGTAAAAGTTATACTTTGCAAGTGGATATCCTCACTCTACAGGACTAGTCACAGATAAAGAAAGTCCACCCAATAATCAATGTCTAGAATAGCTTAGAATGAGTAATTAGAAGTCTCCTAAGCACAATTATCAGCATTAGTAATTTTTAAAAAGCTGCACACAAAGCACATTCTTCTATTGCAATCTCTCAAAGAGCAAACTTCCATTTCTCTGTTGCATGAAGTTCTGTTCATTTTAGGATTGCCTGCTCTACTGCCTATCTATCATCATGCACTTACTTCTCCACCAGCAACAGCCATTCAGAATACAAACTGCTCCATGCACCTTTGAACAGCTGCAGTGCATGACTTGGAGCTGGACCTGGTCCCCCACCAAATCAATACACAACATTTTTCCGGTGGCTGCTGAGGAATACCATGTGGGCTACTGAAAGATCCACAGGAAACATGTGCTCGAGGAGTCAAGGACAGTGAGTGAAACCTATATACATGTATTTAAGATCCATACACAGAGAAAGGAATTCCAAGGGAGTTCACTGGTCTCCTGGAAAAAGAATGGCAAGGAGTTTCTCTAAATCAAGCTTCCAGGGAGCTCAAGCAACTCTAATACCAGAAATTATTCTGAACATACTTCAACATTTCCAATTCCATTCAAACATTTTTTTCTTATAACACTACAAAATTCCAGTGTGTCAGATGCTTCTTTTATTTCCCTGTTACCTTGCTTCAGCTGAACTGGCAAATAAGGATTTAAGGTAAAGAAATGCCTAATAATGAGAAAACCAAGTAAAGTGATTCTCTTAACAGTCCTCCATATTTTTACATGGATACATCCATGTAAAAATATGCTTTCATGTAAAAATATGCTTTTATATGCTTTCATTCTAAATCTAAACTGTTTTCCTTGCTATTCCACATCCAATTTTGAAGGCAGATTTCAAATTCTTCCTTTTAGTGGGATGCAGAGACACTTCAGAAACATAAATACAAGACAATCAAAATTGAACATCATCTACATCTTGTAAAAAAGCAGAAATGAATACACAATAATGTATGCATTCTTCTGTACATTAATAAAACAGATTTCCACAAATTAGAAAGAAATCTTAGTGTCTAGACAGGGCTCAAAGTTTAAAATTCATTACAAGAAATTTATTCTAGTATCATAAAAAATGCAGTAGCAATACCAAACTCATCATCTCAAGTTAAGAAACAGGTCTTACAACCAAGTACACAAGGTTAGTTAGACTCACCTTCCCTCATTGATTTTTGCTTTGTCTCCTTGACAAGAGAAGTTCTCAATGTAACCAAGACTGCAGTTGATTCGTGTCCAGTCGGGCTGGCACACAGCGAGGAAGTGAGGACGCAGCCTACCTATGGAGTACTTGGCAATGTCTGTCAATGACTGGCTAGCAGCTGCTCCAAAAATGAAGGTCCCAATGGCTTTGTAAATAGTGGCTATGTAGTTATTTCTGACAAATGAATTTGAGTGCAAATTATTATAAAAGACAGAGAGAGTCTCTCCTAGGATTATCTGTAAGAGAAATAAGGACAACAGTTAAAGATAGATAATCACTTCAAAAGAAAGATATTACTCTACTGCTATTAATACTCAGATATGTAGTTTCAGAATTGTACAAAAATTAAGCTGCAAATTTAAATTTTCCAAGAGTCAGCAGTAACCATGTCAAAACTTTACACACTTATGTAAAAGAAAAAACCATTACCTTACCCTGCTTCATGTTCAACTTAACATTGTTGATTTTCAGAATGTTTATTAAAACACAGCCTTCTCAGAGTAACATTTCTCCATATTACTAGGCATGGCCCTAATTAGAAGCATTTTGTCCAGTATTACATTTTATTCTACATTGAGTCGTCTTCAGCTAAACGTCTGCTGAGCAAAATTTTTCTATTTCACCATTAATTTGATCGGGTTTTGTGAAGCCAGAGACTATTCTGAAGGGTCTAGACTTCATTTCCAGATATGAAAGGCCAGTTATTTAAACAAAGAAATATCTTATTCCTCAGGAAAATTAAATCCTATGGGGAGAAAACTAATGAGTGGGAAGAGACAGGCATTACTTAGGACTTTCCAAGGATTTTTCAACCTGCATGTCCAAGGTATATGCATCAAGTGTGTATCAAGTGTTGATAGGGAAACAGATTTAATTTTATTTCCCTGCAACTTTATCTTTTGCAGAAAGTAAGTTTTTCCTTAAACCAAGTACAAAACTTCAGCTCAGACAGGCTGGATATTGAACCAAATGGTCCACTTTCTGCAAAAAGGCTCAGCTCATACAGATGATCAAGTGAGTGGGGGGACTGTATGCATGTATGTAGACTGGTCTTTAAAAATCATGTAAAGATTAAATGATGGCTCCATCTGTCACTCAAGAGTGACAAGTCCAGGATCCCAAAGCAAAGCAAAGCTTTGGAGAATGAAGCAATTAGGCACTGACACTTGGGCATACAAAGTAGCTGTCAGCAGCTCTGTACATCAAGGCAAAACAGACAATCCCATCATATGCATGACACTGAAGTTTTATACCCTGCACCATACTGAAACATGAACTGAAGCAGAGAATCACTACTAACATGGACTAAAGCTGAGAAAGCTTTCAGTAAAGTAGATGTTGGTAAACTCTTATACAGAATCTACCTATCCCAGAGAATAACCTCTTAATGAAGACAGCTGAGCAGAAATATCACAGCCATGACTAATAAGTAATGAATCCCTTTCAAAGAACACTGCAAGAAGGTCACTTATCTTGGTTGATCTGACAGAAAAAAAAGGTGATGTCAATGCAGCTTCTTCACTGGATGGAGACAAAGAGTATTCATCTTCAAGAATCTGACTAAGAATTGAGTAGAAGACACCAACATTTGCTTTTACCATTAAAGCAGTCTTGACAGAAAAGCCTCACTTCACAACTGAAAGACAATCCCTGATGTTACAAAGGTAACTGTGTTAGCTAAATGTTCATACAGGCTCATATGGAAACTGGATAAATTCAGAGGAAATGCATCCATTAAAATGACTATATTTACTGAAGCCTGTTCTGACTCTGTAAGTCCCCGAGCTGCAGTGGCTAGTAGCAAAGTACTTGAGGGCGAAACATTAATCTTTGCTTGCTGATTTTCTTTACTTCCTCCCTCATCTGTTTCAATCACTGCTAGAAATGAGGCTAGATGGACTTCAGTTGTGACCAAGTACTATTGCTCTTAAGTAATACTGACTACCAGTGGTAGTAATAGGGTGGAAAAAACAACAGCCCTATCTTAAACGGCAAAATCTTTTAGCATAAACTACTTGCCAGTTAATAGAAAGGACAAAACCCAAGTTCTATCTGTTCCAGAAGTATTTCTCTAAGTTTTTGAAACAGTTTTTCCAAGAAAAAACTAGGTAAGTCACAGTTTTGATTCCCAGCCCCACATTTCTACAGTATGAAACAAAAAATTCAACCTGAGAGCAAACATTAGCTACAAGTTGACCTTTATGTTGGAACCTAGACAAAAATCCATATAGTCCTTATGCAAAAAACAGTTAGATTGACATAGTAACCCTCCCGATTTTAACTCATTAGCCCAGAGAAACAGCTGGCCACTACTGAGGTTTACATTTAGCTGCTCTTCTTCCAGCTTTGATTCCTAAAATCTATTTGAATAAACATTTATACACCTGTATACACCTGGCAAAAAAAGAGTTTTAATTCTGCTCAAAGTGTAGCTCTGCTGAGCTTGGATGTCACCCAGAGCCATGAATGGAGTCTCAAGCTTTTTAGCACAGGAACTGAAGTCCAGGACTTCTGGACAGGGATCTTGAAGTCCCCATTGAAGTGCCATTGTGGGAACTAAAATGCAGCCCATGAAACTTAGGACACAAAATAGTTAACTGATGAGGTCCAGCTCTCCCCTCTACCAATGCCCAAGGACATGCCTGCAGCACTGACACTGTATTCTTCCAAGAGCCATTTCACTGAACATAGCTCAAAGCAAGCTGCTCTTTTTTGCCAGGTTAAGGAATTTCACTAGCTTATCCTCAGTCAGACAAGCTGCCAGAGGTAGCAAAATACAGAGTAATAGTGGGACCTCAACTTTTGTCCACAGCGAGCTATTGAGCTATTAGACTAGCTCAGCTGACAGTAAGCAATTAAATTTTTAAAGATACAGAGTCACTATATGCTTGAACCAGTTCAACTGATCTAGAACCTGTGGTCAAATAGAGAGATCCCAAACTGACAGTTGCTGAGGCAAGCTCTCCAGCTTCTAATACAGTACAAAAAGGAGGGAAGAAGAACCCCATTTTCAACCAGGGTGCAGCAAGAAAGTGAGCCCTAGCATTAACACAAACGGGCCCAGTGTTTTATTCAGATCTTTGGGGAAATATCTGGCTCTTTTCTAGTTATGCTTTTGATACATTCTGATTGGAAGCCACAATATTTTTCTATTACAGAACTTAGTATCTGTTGGTGCACTTCCACACACAGAAGTATTTTCAATGACTGTGGCAGATAAAAAAAATCTAACTTCATAGATCATGTAAACTCATATTCTGAAAGTAGTAGCTCCCCAAAATAGAAAAGCTTGAGACAGTCATTTAAGATACCATATCAGTTAAGAATAACACTAATGTAAGGGAGTAAGTTTTTATTGATCATACTATAGAATTGTCACCATAGTTCTGAATTATTTTTCTAATCTATAATTCTAGTAGTTTGACTTCAATTAAAGAAAACATTTTAGGTTTTTTTTGCCAGAACACCATTTCTACTGCTTTAGCACCTGGTCTAATGACATTATTTTAAAGTTGAGAAACCTTATAGAATACAGTTTTTGAAGCCTGTATCAACAGATTGGCCCTCCTCCCTCTTCCCCACCCCCCACTGAAATCAAATGCAATGAAGAGAAGTTTTAACTTACAACAGTTATACTGAAAGGAATAATTATTCCTGCTAACAACTTATAAGAAATGGTGTCCTCTTTGTATGGATACCGGATGGATTCATCACTACAGAAAACTCCTCTCTGGAAGGGGATACGTCTTGAATTGAGAATTGCAAAAGGCAAGCCAGCTAGCAAAAAGGAATAAAAAAAATACATTACAAAAGCAACACAGACTCTGGCGATGATTATATCCCCGCATTTCCAAAGAGAAGCGCATAAAGAGGAACAGGCATGCAGCAAATTAGGAGGTTATGCACTTCCTTTGGCCAATGACTACTGCCTTGTCTTTGCAGCTCCCAGGAAGGACTGCTGAATGAAGGAGAGCAGGACAGGATTCCTTTCACCTTTTTGATCCAAAATTTCTCACCCATTTGTGGCACATCAAGTATGGAAGCATGCCAAAACCGTGATTGAGTAAACAGGTCAGTGACAACCACTGAATTGCTCAATCTGCTGCTACTGCCACAATTATCGACTGTTCCTTTGTATTCCAGTGAGCAACAGTTGCCCCTTTATACCTTCTCTGGAGAGCTTTACAAGTCAGAAGAGCATAAATTACATTCCATGAAAGCAGAAAACGGGTGCTTCCCAGGGAGTGCAAGTGCAGAGGGAGTTTTCAGGAAGATATGGAAAAAAGGTAAAATTATACAAATTATACATGCATGTGAACCCCTCACTTCCACACACACTGGATAGTTCCCTGGAACAATGTGGTCACTGCACAAACCCTACAATCTCAGGGCATGGATATTTTATTCCCCTCTCTTTCACAAAAGAGGAAGCCTTTGGCTCATTCTATACTCAAGAAAACACAAGATTAAGGCACACAATGCTTTGTGCTATTGCACCTCAAGAGACCTGCAACACTAACCAAAACTAGTCATTTGAACAGCAAAGTTTTAAAAAGCTTAATAGGATACAAATTACTACAACTAATAGAATCAAATTTTAAACCCTGATCCTCCATCGTTGACAAGCATACATTATCAGCACAATGTGTTCGTGTACAGAGATGAATACCCTCAGAAAGAAGCAGCTGTATGGAAACAAAAAGTGGGAGACTACCAAGTGTTCAACAATACAATAATCTTCTTTAAGTTAGGAATGAACAGCACAATGGCATTAAAGTGCTTAAAAACCTGGATTGAGTTCTCAAAACTCAGCAGTATTGCACATAAAGTACATACTAGGTTAGACAACAAAATCATCTGGGGGTAGACAATCCTCATCTACCACTAAATGGATCAGAGATCAAAACCAGCCTCCTTCCTGCCTGCTAGAGTAAGATGTTGCTGTAATCTCAATTCTCTCCTCAGGACCTCAGTGTCAAGGCACAGTCCACCTTTTCCTTTCCATATATACAACTACACACACATAAATGTGTACAAACAAAAGTAAACATGGAAAGAACAGAAGAAAAAGAAATTATTAGGAAAAGATACCAACCAAACAGTACAAGAACTGTTAGAGGAGAAAAACACTGTTACAGTCAGGACTTACAAGAAAAAAAGAATACCTAGGATGCTTTTCAACCCTCTTCCCACTTTAACCTCCACCCATGAAGTCCTTCAAACTAGCCTGACTCCTGGGTGCATCTCAAATAAGACATACTATGGTTTCACCAATGATTTGCTATGGATTTCATGCTTCACACCATAAAGTGACTGCTTAAAAGAATGGTCCAGTTCAAAAACAGACACAGAAGAAGCTCCAGTTTGAAAACAGACACAGAAGAACAAGAAGTGAAAATTTCCTTGAAGTGACTTCTGACAAATGACACACAGCTTTCTTCCACGATCAAGCAGTTATGGGTTTATCATAATGCCCACGTATTCCAGCTAAGCCTGTTACAAAAAAAGTCACGTAGCTTCTGTACTGTTAGTCATAGAATCTACAGCATTCTCCCTTCTGAAAGTGGCCAAAAAAACCACTGTCATTGTGATGTGGGGTTGCTTCCAGTTCCACGCTAGTGGGACTACAACTGACCTAGCTCTGGAAGCTGTCCAAGCACACCAACAAAGCAGAAGGATAGCAGAACAGGCTAAGAGCCAAGCCAGAGCCTCGCCAAAACACTGAACCATTCAGACATGAGCCACCACAGAGCCCTGGAGCAGTACTCTGCAGTACAGTGCAAAAAAATAGCCCTTCCTACCAGGAAAAAAAAAAATCTCTCTTGCTTTCTCCTAATAGTCTGAATAACATGTTTTTTTTAAAGAGCTGCAGACAAGACCTCATTTCTGCCCTCACCTTGCATTGGTATTGTCACAATGTCACAATATGTAATCAGTTGTTTAGTGTTTAGCTAAGGTGTAAGGGAGGAGGCAGAAGCAGTGTGCAGTCAAGGTGAGGGAAGGTGACTTGTCAGCATAATAGCATGGTGTGTTTCCAAGACCATTTATTCTACAAAATATGTATTGAATAAAAGCTTCATCCTTTGCCCCGCACACATACTAAACACCAAGATTGAAGACTATATATTTAAGCATATTTTTTACATTTCCACAAGTGGAGCATGAGGCACACACATATAAATCTCTTGATTCTTTACAGGTTTGCTTTAGAGTAAGTAGTTTTAATCATCATGGTAAAGCAGTTGCTCACAAAATTAAGTCTAGAAAAACCTCATCACAGCTTCAGCACACTGACACAAATACTTGCAATCATAGTTAGGTGGTGTCACTGACATCACATCACCAGCTCTGCATCATCCTCTTTAAAGACCTGCTCTATGAATAATGTTGTCATGGTGTCTTACTCCTCATTTCCTCCTACCTATACCTGAATATTTCAGCTGGGGTTCATTCTTCAGGTGTTGGGGGGGATTTTTTTTTAATGTAATTACCTCCTGCTAAATCAGAAGTGGAAAGCAATGGTATGAGGATAATGGGAACAAAGTCCATCATGCAGCAAGAGCATGTGCTTTTCCATGTAAAGAGAAGCTGCTTGAAACATGTGCTCACTCTACAGCAATATCGAAATTATTATGTAATTAATCTAATTGCTTGCAGCACCTTCCTATATCAAGATCATGCAAACAAAATACCAAACAACTCTAAGTTGGGGGGGGGAGGTTAAACAAGTAAGAACCAGCTAAAATGTTATTAAAATGCCTTCTCATAATTTTTCCACTTCTACCTGAAACCAATCCTACATTGCTAATTAAGAAAGAGATTTTTATAAACAGTTACCTAATATTATAGGTTAAGACTTTAGGAAAGACAGTATGAGCCTTAAAATTCTACCTATCTGGTTTGAACTAACAGTTGGAAGATCTATGCACTGAAAAACAATACTGCTAAAAAAGCATATACAGTAAACTTCATGAAGGGTTTCTTCAGATTCCCCCAACTGTATAATGTATTTTTTAAAAGTAATTCCACCACCTCTTTGTCAGCATGTTTCAGTGCTGAAAGCAGACCTGCTCCATGAAAGCTGAAGATAAAAGTTTTAATTTCTAAAAGCTTATTACAGTAAAATTGATCAGATTGACTTAACACTGTTAAACTGAAAACTAAAGTCACAGAACTACAACATTTGTAATTTACCTTTTGCTCAATCCAAGGCAGTTATTAGACTGAAAAAAAATCACACCAATACTGGCTTTTGATGTCTTTTCAGCTGAAGTACTTTCCAATATCAATACCTACTCCCTCAGAACACAATCCATACAGGTTTAATTTACTTGTTTTAAAGACACATGGATTGGCTTCACTATTAGCTGGGGGGAGAAAAGTAGAAGTCAAACCAGAGGAGCCACAACTACTGTTTCTGTCATATGAAGCCATTAAGAAAAACAAAATACTTAGGGGTTTTGTTCTGTTTTACATGAATCTGCAAGGTCTCGTTTTGATGGATTTAAAGGTGTTTTTTAAAAAAACAAACTATTTGTTAAATCAAATCAAAGTTATTTCAAATATATAGCTTAAGTGCTTGCTTCCTGCAGTGCAAGCCTCTCTCCCCCCAAAGACAATATAGAGACAGGGAAAAATAGTTTGGCTTTTTCATTAGTACAGGCAGGACAAACAAGCAGAAGAACTGGCATAAGTGATGAAAGAGGCAAAGCCTCTTAGCAAGTACAACAGTAGTGTTTCCCTACAGTTCTGATAGACATGTTACTTTTTCACCCCAAGAGGTATCCATTTCAGAAAACAGGAGTAAGTTTTTGCATCATGGTAGCAGGACTGGGTATTATTGAAGAGTTTGATATTGGTCTTTATAATGGTACAGCTATCATTAGCATCAAGGTCTTTAACTTCCCAAATACAAATTAAGAACAAATTTCAGTGGTAGTATAGGAGGTGGTGTACTTCACTGTCCAAAGATTTAGCCACATAAAAGTCTATAAAGGAGTTTCTCAGGAAAAGCAGCAAAGATTCAACAGATCTCTGGGAAAAGAAATCCTGCTCATCTGACATAGTCATGTGTTGCCACAGTAAGTTAAAAGAAAGGCCCTCCTTTTTCTAGAATTACCCTTTTCCCCCCTAAACAAGCTACAATTTCTAAGGGCAGAGTTTGGCTTCTTATGAAGAACTAGTAAAAATTACTTGGGTCTCAGTTTTACATGAAACTAGAAGAAGAAACTGGGGAGTTTAAATACTCCTTTTAAGTGAAGATTGCAGAGGATCAAAGGCTCTCTACCAAATACTTCCCATATGACAATACCAAAAGCATCCCTAACATATACTTCATTTCCCAAGTCAATTGTAACAGTGAAGAAATTGCCTATAGGAAAGATGATAACAGGTATGTTAAGAGGAATTATAAGGTTGGGAAGAGGTTAGGTTACCAGTAGGGTAATCTCAAGGATAAAGCCAACAAGCTAGTGGTATGCAGTGCCTATGCCAGCATCATTAATGAATAACTAGTCGATGCACTGCTAACAGAGCTGGCAATTCTGATACTGTGGAAGATCAAGGTCAGCCAGTTCTGCCTGCAAAACAACTCTTAAAGACTGAAGCAAAAAAACAGATGGAGATTTGTGCCATAATGAGTTCAGCCATGTACTTGGGAGGTTAAACAACGCTAACAAGCTGGGAGCTTGTCTGTTCAAAACAGGAAGGGAAAATAGTGTCTGCTTCCCATGGTTGTTGTTCATCAATATAATAGACCATTAGAAAAGTCTTTCCAA